TAACCTAACCTTAGGCCCAGACCTAACCTAATATAACCTAACCTTGGGCACAGACCTAACCTAATATAACCTAACCTTAGGCCCTTAGGGCCTGACGAAACCTAATCTAACCTAACCGTGGGCCTGACATAATTCGACAAAAGTAGTAATATGCGTAATAATATCGGTAATAATAAGAATAGGGATAATAATAAGAGTAGTAAGGATAATTACAGTTCCAGCGACGATAGTAGTCGTAATATACGTAATAATATTGATAATAATAAGAGTAGTAAGGATAATTACTGTTCTAGCGATGATAATAGTCGTGATATGCGTAATAATATTGATAATAATAAGAATTAAAAGGATAATGATGATAAAAGTAGTAATATGCGTAATATAATAGTCGTGATATGCGTAATAATATTGATAATAATATAAATAATAAGGATAATGTTGATAAAAGTAGTAATACGTGTAATAATATTGATAATAATGAGAGTAGTAAGGATAATTACGGTTCTAGCGATGATAATAGTCGTGATATGCGTAATAATATTGATAATAATAAGAATAATAAGGATAATGATGATAAAAGTAGTAATACGTGTAATAATATTGATAATAATAAGAGTAGTAAGGAGAATTACGGTTCCAGCGATGATAATAGTCGCGATATGTATAATAAGGATAATGGTGATAAAAGTAGTAATATGCGTAATAATACTGATAATAATAAGAATAATAAGGGTAATTACAGTTCCAGCGATGATAATAGGCGTAATATGCGTAATAATATTGATAATAATGAGAATAATAAGGATAATGATGATAAAAGTAGTAATACGTGTAATAATATTGATAATAATAAGAGTAGTAAGGATAATTACGGTTGCAGCGATGATAATAGTCGCGATATGTGTAATAGTATTGATAATAATAAGAATAATAAGGATAATGATGATAAAAGTAGTAATATGCGTAATAATATTGATAACAATAAAAATAATAAGGATAATGATGATAAAAGTAGTAATATGCGTAATAATATTGATAATAATGAGAATAATAAGGATAATGGTGATAAAAGTAGTAATATGCGTAATAATACTGATAATAATAAGAATAATAAGGGTAATTACAGTTCCAGCGATGATAATAGGCGTAATATGCGTAATAATATTGATAATAATATAAATAATAAGGATAATGTTAATAAAAGTAGTGATATGCGTAATAATATTGATAATAATATGAGTAGTAAGGATAATTACTGTTCCAGCGATGATAATAGTCGTCATATGGGTAATAATATTGATAATAATAAGAATAATAAGGATACTGATGATAAAAGTAGTAATATGCGTAATAATATTGATAACAATAAGCGTAGTAAGAATAATTACAGTGCCTGCGATGATAGTAGTCGTAATATGCGTAATAATATTGATAATAATAAGAATGATAAGGATAATGATGATAAAAGTAGTAATATGCGCAGTAATATAGATAACAATAAAAATAATAAGGATAATGATGATAAAAGTAATAATAGGGGTAATAATATTGATAATAATAGGAGTAGTAAGGATAATTACGGT